TCTTCGTGCCCTACCCACCTTTTTGAGTCTGACCCCTTGGCAGCAGCTGGCCCTAGCAGCAAGAAGGAAGCTCTGTGCTTATATGCTGTTCAGTTCCCGACTTCAGCGTTTGGTCTGTCCAGGTACCGGTTTGTACCCGCAGAGTACCGCCCTGATGCTGCCGGCTCAGCTGAGAGCCACCAGTGTACAGCTGTGAACTGGTGCCAGCGCTCGCAGAGTGCTAGTCTGAACTGGGCTCAAATCAGTGTCACAGATAAAGGTTTTCTGTGCTCTGGCTGAGACGGCTGGAACCAGATTCATGTTTTCTCTGCCGCGCTCACACTGTCAAGTGCAGTTTTCTCGGCTGAATTGTTTCTTATGTTGGAGTATTTCTGGATCCAAATGAGTGTTAAAATAAATCTGGTTTGATTCCTTCACTTTAATTCTTTTTTTTGGGGGGGAAGGCCTGAAGCCAGGAAAGATGGTGGCTGGAGGTATGCTCAAGAAAGTGAAAAAAATAATAAAATACTGTATTTTAACTTTTAGAATACTACATTTAGTTACCACATTTCTGACTCCAAGTGAAATATCTATACAGTATCTTTATTTTTGCCGAAGACAATGTAAAATTGGACCGTGCAGTTCCTTCAGCTTGGATCTGTGGCTGATGCTCTTGACTGATTTGCTCTTACTGTACTGTAAGCGGTCAGAGGGGCTCAAGATGGGTCCTGGGTCATAATTCAGAGGTGAGATGTAAAGTTACCTGATGTGATATAAACAAGTCCAGGAATCGGTTAACTCAGCCAATTTCTATTTTTAGGTGCATCCATGCCCTTACACATAGGATTTTATTTTCCCCAGGCAGACTCTGGAAAGGGACTGGTAGACATGTTCTGTTTTTTTCTGAAAGGATTTAGTAGGTTTCCTTCCCAAATGTCTCACCTTTCTTCTTTGCCTCCTTCCCTTGGTTGAGTACTAAAACATTCTTTTTCATAGAAACTAAGGTATTAACCTAAAACGCTGCAGAAAGATTTTGCTATTGCAGAATGAAGATGATGGTAGTTTATCACAAATGTACATTGTTGAGGACTACAAACCTTGCCTTTAACACTCAGGCATGTTCTAGAATTTAAAAAATTTAAAAAAAAGGAAAATCAAAATTGTTATGAAAGATCCTTGAGTCTGTTGCATGGCCTGTGTGGACTGGCAGTGGCAGTTCCTCCACCTGATAATGGCTGACTGGGGTGAACAGGAGGAAGAGGCACATGTGTTGGTGGTGACTGGTCTTGGCAAAAACAAAGTAATGCTTAATATTTTGCAAGTGGGACTTTTGAGACTTGTTTCTAGATCCTAATTCTACCCATCTTAGAGGGAAACCCTCTGCTCTAACAAATGGACCTACTGGTCCAGCTGAGAAAATCTAGACATGCTGAAATTGTTGAAAATAGCTATGAAATGGCATATTGCATCACAGAAGCTTGAGATGGAGAGATCTGTTTGATCACCAGACTCTGCTGTCCTCAGCAAAAGTTTGAGATAGTGTCTCAGTGGAGGGTCCATCCCACAAGATATTTATGGGAAACATTGGTTGCATCTGAAGCTAGTTGATAAGAAGACTGAATGGTGAAATGCTGTAATTTGAGTGACAGAGTGCTATCAGGGTGCCAGGAGTGCTATTTCTCCCTGCTTAAGGTTTTGGAGGAAAACTGTGACATAATTTTTTACTGCTTCTGGTTCCCTGAAATAGAAAAGATTCCTGTCTACTGTGATCTTGTCATTATGGACTGGGCCAGCACGAAGTTTACAGTGAAATCTGGCTGTTACATTGTTTAGATAATCTCCCCGAGTTAGAAGAAATCAGATGTTGTGCCCATGTACGTAGATCAGGGAGTTCCACAGCAGAACCTTCCTTCTGAAAAAGCAGTGTCTCTTGTGCGTTGCTTTCAAGCTTAGTGCTTAGCTTGTAAGACCCATATTTTCAGGGCTGACTTTGTAAGGAAAAGGAACAACAAGTTTACTTCTTACAATGATATCTGAAATGATTTTTGACATTTCTAGAATCTCTTAGTCCTACAGGCCCTATGGTGATAGGAGGTCAAAGGACGGATTTCTAGTTAAAGCGTTTGTATGTAGGTTCTGTAAGTCCAGACAGAGAAACCAGTCTGGTGAATGTGTGCAAATGCCTCTGCTTGGGGTCGTACTGGTTATGCAATTAAAAAGGGCAGAAATTTGCGTGTTCACCATGCTGTGAACATACAAAGTTAGCTATTGTAATGTCCCCATCCTTTTCTGACTTTACTAGATTGTTTGTAGCTCAGGATTTAAATTCAGCACCGTCCAGATGGGATCCAATACTCTACTTTCTCAGAGCAAGAGAGAAAATATGAAAGAATGGGTCACTCAACTGAAAAGTCAAAAGCCAGTGCTTGATTTTAAGTACCTGAATGGCTGTTTGCATGAGGGACTATCTGTGTGCTTTAAGTTAGAAACATTAACTAGTTCTACGCTGAGGTAAGGTCCCGTACTTCACCCACAGCAGAGCTTTCCCATCTGTCGGTGGAAATGTCTGGTACCAAGGGTGCTTTCTAGCCCCTAGCAGGAGTCTCTTTTAGCGAATTGAATTCATGAATGATATTATTACAGCTGCAAGTGGAATTTGGATGTTCATAAAAGTACTTTGCACAGTACTTTGGCATCCATGAAAAACTAGCTAGAGCCCTATGGCCTGACATTTCCCCTTGGAAAGGAACCCAGTTCCTCTTTGGCATTTTTAATACAAAGACAAGGAAGATCTTAGTACTTGTGCGCCTCATGAAGAAAATCCTTTATCAGAAAAGTGTCTTCTGCATGATATGCTCAGATTGAAGCAGGCTATTTTCCCAAATATTTAGTATTCAAAAGTAGACCATTTGCTGGAATTCAGAGTAGCCCATTTACGTCCCAGTTGACTGGCTGTCAAGCTAGCCGCTAAAATATATTATGATTCAAAATGTTAAATGCTTCGCCTAAAAGGTTGGTGGTTGGAAACCACACTTCAAACCAAGGTCATCAGCATCTTTGAACAGTGAACTTGCCCAGTCTCTGGAGAAAAAGAATTAAACAGTTTGTTCACTTTTAACGAAGCTGACAGTGCATGGGGAGAATGAGTTCTGTTTATTAGACCCTGATTTACGTGGTAACTAAGAAAATGCTCTGAAAGCAGCCATTTATTAAACAGAAATGAAACTTTTGGCTTTTGAAATGTGCCTAGTGCTTTGATTATTTTGGCATAAAATTTATAATTCTCAAAACCTAGTTTTTATTTCAAGCAGAGTTTCAATTGCATCTTCTAAAGGACTGCAATGTACTGTATCTCAGAGGAGCATTATCAATATGCTTATGCTTCCAATCTGATCTGTTCTCAGCTTCTTAGTCATAAAGGAAAGTACCTTGACTGACTGTATCTACTTTTTTTTTTTTTTTTTAAGTCAAATCTATCATTACCTTTTCAGGAGCACAGGTTAGTTGAAGCAGCAGTTGAAGATAGTCCATGAAAAACTTAATGGTGATACATATGGACCTTGCTAGTGCAGAATCAGCTCCCGAATTACATTACAATCTAAGAATTAACTGTATATGCAAAGAACTGAAAGAGCTGTCTGGGTTGTGATGTGATTAGGAGCATTTGGAAACATCTGATCAAAAAAACCCTGTCAGATCTCAGTAGGCTGGTGTCATTGTTGATGCTTGTGAACAATGTAAAAAAAAGCCTTGACCATTTTAAACCCCATGAAGGTCTCCTTGAATATTTTTCAGTCAGAACTTTTTCCATAAGGAAAGTCTGTTTCCATGGGGAATATACGGAATTTGCCCAAACTTCACTGAGTATTCTGGGAAAGAATCAAACTGAAGAATTTTGATTGTGTAGAAACAGTTGTAAATAGTGCTTTTTCACAGCAAAATGTTTTCAACCTGCTTGAAAACACCTTTGCTTTTTGAAACGTGTTTTATTTTATGCAGAAAAGTAATAAAAGTAGCGTTCAGAGTGAAACTGGAAGAAAACATTCTGCTTGACAGTCTCAGAAGAATTTAATTAAGCTCAGCTGAAAAATACTGACTTACAGAAAAAATTGTAATGACATGTTCTGTTCTAATTCTGAATAGAAAATAAAATTTGAGGTTCTAGAATTTATACAAAATTCTAGTATCTGCAAAGGATAAAGACAGGGGAGGTGTTTTGCAAAAATTAAAGGACAAAACTGGTGGGAGATGAGTTCTTAGTTAAAAACTTCACATGCTTTTGAGGAGAAAGGAGAATAATAGAAATCCTTTGGCTTGGCCTATAAATTAGTGAAATCTGTGGATTGATCTCCACTGACCTTCATGTATTCTGGCTCAAGTCCTTCAAAAATTTAGAAGCAATTTTTAATTTAAGTGTGAAGAACTAAATAATCTCTGCACGACCTTCTAGATTAGGATGCCTACTTTGACTAGAAGGATAAAGGCTAACCTTGAATTTAGAGTATAAATAAGCTGAAATTCCAAAGTGTCCATCAGAGCATTAAGGTCACTGTAGCGCTCTTTCCTAATTCTGTTCCCTTTTAGGATATCTCTATACGTTCTTTGGTAGTAATACCAGAGGAAGTCTTCGCCCCCATTCTTGTTAACAGCGATCCATTTGGGGATTTGTTTTACAGTGTGGCTCCAGTTGAATGACACCACTAAAGAGGACAGTGAACTTCGGAGTGAGGTTGGGAATGGGCAGGTAGCAGTGAGGAGGACTTTTAAGCTTTGCCACCAGAGAAACGTTATCACTTAGAAATGGCCTTGATTAAAAAAAAAAAAAAAAGGTGTTATATATAATGTTTTGAGTCACAAAGAGATGAAGCATTGTTAGCGTTGTGCCATTACATGTGCATAATTATTAAGTGAACTGAACAGGCAGTAGTTACTGTTCATTAAGCCTTACTTGAACTGCTACAGATCTGAATCAATTTGCAAACAACCATAAGTAAAATCTAGGATCCTTTTGTGTTTTCCAGGGTGTGCAGACTTGCATCTTCTGGATATGTTGACACCTACTGAAAGGAAAAGGCAGGGATACATCCACGAGCTCATTGTTACAGAAGAGAACTATGTAAATGATCTGCAGTTGGTCACAGAGGTAAGACGGCACAGCAGCTTTGGGAGCAGGTTTTAATTGCTCATCTTTTTGAAGTAAATCAATAATTTCACTGTGCAAACTCATTTTATATCACTGCTGTTTCTGACTTCCTAGGGTTGATCTGTATTAAATTCTCATCCATCTATCTATCTATCTATCTCTGTAGATATGTGCATGCATGTATGGGTGTGGGTGCAACTAATGTTAAGCCTTTGTGTTATCATCACCAAAACACCAATGTTTAAAGTATCATTCTAGTAAACCCTTTTTGCTCCTGATTTTGAATGTTTATTTCTCATGTATAAGTTCTTAAAGCTTGAAGCACATTATGTGCTGGTTTTCACATTCACAGTGGCACTCAATTAAAACTTGCTGTGATTTTCTTTGAATGTTACAAGGTACATCTTTTATGTGGAAAAAAAGGGAATTGGTACAGGCAACTGACTTAGACAATTCTTTTGACAGAGAGGGAAAGCCCTTTTTTGAAAAAGAGGTCAAGATATGCAAACCTGAGACACTAGCAGATAAATCTCAACTTCCATACAAGAGTCCAAAGTAAAATGTATTTTAAGTTGTATTATCAAAGTAATCCTGGGATATTTTGCAGGAGACCTCTGACTAAAATTCCCAAGTTTCAAACAGATTATCCAGGTCATACTTAACACCACTGACACAAATTTAGAGTATTCTCTTTCAAAGCCATACATCACGCACAAACATATTATCAGGGAACACTATGGATCTCTAGGGCACAGCGCATGTTTGAAGTCTGTTCTACTGAGAGTCAAGTGCTACTCTGATGTGAAGTTTTCTCACCTCCAGACTAAGGAAGTGAGCATCATCAGTCTTAGTCACTTTGATTATACTTACCACACTTTGATTATACTTACCATATACTTTCTAAATTGCTTAATTTTCTGAATCTATAGATCTTCCAGAAACCACTAATGGAATCTGAGCTGCTAACAGAAAAAGAAGTTGCTATGATTTTTGTTAATTGGAAGGAGCTGATTATGTGCAATATAAAACTACTGAAGTAAGTTTTTTCCCCATACTTAGCAATAACAAAATCATGGGCCTCTCCCCCTGCTTCTCCTTTTAGCTGCATGAAAATATTTGCCACTTAATGCAAGTAGCAACTGAAGGGGCTATGCATTTTTCCTTGTTGGAAAAAGCAAAATATTAACAATGTTTGCTATGACTTATTGTTGCTGTTGAGAAAAATCCAGCAGCTCTTTGCTGAGTAAGTATTTGCTTTTACTTTGCTCTTGGTGTACGTGTGCTCCAGAAGGCACATCGACCTCTCCTGAAGAGTAGTGCCTGCCAAGGCTACCCACAGTTCTGTCGTAGACTTCTACTTCCTCCGTCACAGCGCATACCCAGTTCCAGTTCTATTATCCATGAATGCAAAACAAGGCCAAACAACCTCTGCCTCCCTTATTCTGAGTTGGCTGGTGCATTCCTTTAGTTATTGTAGGCTTATAGCACCTGAATGAGTTTTGTGAGAAGCAGCACCAATAAAGCCTGGTTTCCTATGGATTTGTGTCCAGTGTACCCTGCACCCTTCCTTCCAAAGTCTCCAACTACTGCAACCCCAACTCTCTACCATGAAACTCCACGCAGTGCAAGTATGTTTATTTCTCCCTTCATTCTCTGTGGCCTCCGATGGATCCAGTCTTCCTACTTGCATCCTTCTCACCCATCCCTACTGCTTCAGCAAGACACAGTAAATGCTGATTTGGAGGCACGTGCACGCAGGCTGCTCATCTGGTCATTGCCAGAGAAATGGAGTAAGGATTGAGTTAAACCTGCGTCTTCATAAGCAAGAGGATTAATAAAGTTCCTTTTGTCCCTACTGAGCTGCTAATTTTCATTGAACTTACAGGGATTTTATAATCATTTAGGTTGAAAAAGACCCTTAAGATCATCAAGTCCATGATGAGCAGGCAGCTTAATGACAATAAACCTCCTTTCCTTAGGAAACCAGGCTAAAAACTAGAAGTAGCTTTGAGCTTAAAGTAGTGGTAAGGTTTTTATCCCCCATTCACAAGCATATCTATTACTCTCTAAACTAGTAGAAAAGGAGATTGTATTTCTTTTTATATTGTATCTGATTTGGCATTGCATTAAGTTAATGTCAAATAACAGTTTGGTTACCACAAGGGGGAAAAATGTTGTTGGCTGAGGGTGCAATCTTGATTATTGTATTCTTACACTATGCAACAAATCTTGTGGCTGATCTATTTATTATTCAGGGGTCTCTTTACTTCAATAATGAGTAAGAATCAAACCATTTATTTCATAAATGAGGAATCACGCTTTAGTGGTTTGCTTATAAAACAGACATGACTTTTTCATGTTTAGGGCTTTGCGTGTGCGTAAGAAGATGTCTGGAGAGAAGATGCCAGTGAAAATGATTGGTGACATACTGACAGCTCAGCTGCCACACATGCAGCCTTACATTCGGTTCTGTAGCTGCCAGCTCAATGGGGCAGCGCTCATCCAGCAGAAGACAGATGAAGTCCCCGAGTTCAAGGAGTTTGTTAAAGTAAGAAAAGAAGCAATAACCATGAATTTTGTACACTGTCAATTTAGCTCATCATTTCGCTAATTTGCAAGACATAGTCTCAAATAGTGCTCTGTGTTGGGCTAGAGGGAAGAATCTTCAGACTTAAGCACTCGTTGAAGGAGTACATGTTTTCATTGAAGGAATAAATTTTTTTAAAGAACTCTAGAGCCATAAAATACTTTGTTTAATAATGGTTTTGCTGTAAAATGCTGAGACAGTAAGAAGAGGCCCTTCTCTTGTACAGGCAAGGCAGGTGAAGAATATGTTGTAAAAAATACAAGAAATTCTACTGCACTGATATCGTTTGTGGTCTAAGAACAGATTTAGCTGAGCCATGGTGTTCATTTGTTGCCTTACCTTTTTCGTTCTTGGAGGAACTCATTTTGCAGGGTTTTAAACAAACTGACTAACACCACTTTACCTCTCTAATGTTTCAGAGGTTAGCAATGGATCCTCGCTGTAAAGGAATGCCACTATCAAGTTTTCTACTAAAGCCTATGCAACGGGTAACCAGATACCCACTAATAATTAAAAATGTACGTTTTGCAAAGATGATGTTTTTGATGCTGCTTTGCTTATAGCTTAATTACAGGGTAGTTTCCCTATTTGTGTCAAGCTTTATCACTATTAGATATCTGATGTGCTAGGGAACATGGGGTATCCTTTTATATTTGATCACACTAGAGTAAATGCGGTAACTCATTTGGCTTCAGTGAAATGACTCTGGATTTCCATTAGAAACAGAGGTGAAACTTGCACACAAAGAACCAGAAGGCAGTAAATGCTGAATGAACACTTCAAAATTCAGATAACGGGAGTAACGAGCCAATCTTATGCTCATCTTTGCCATTTTCCACAGCGCCATCCCTCCCCATAGTCTCATAAATGACATTCAGTGTGCAAGCCTGAATGCCAAATTGTTGCAAGTTACCTTACTGCGCAGCTTACATTGCTGTATGACTTACAACCCTTTCCTAACTTTCATTTGTTGCCTAACGCTTACCGTCCTGAATAATGTTATTGAACTTGGCCCAAGACTTTTGCAGAAAAGAATTGTAAGTTGGATGTTGGCATTTAAGAGATTCCTTAAACAGTCATGGATATATTTCTGTATATGGCTGAAATTTGCATACTTATGTCAGAAGAGTGAGCGGTGTACTGATGCAAAGGCTCTGCAGGCAGGCATTCCCTTCAGCTGTTCACAAACAGACTGTGAGTTTGTCTCCTATTTTTCATGTTTGTCAAGGAGGAAAAGAAATTTGGAACATACTGGCTGGCTCTGATGAAAATAAAGAAATGAAACAGAAGTGTAGGGCTGACAGTATAAATACGATTTAACTGCAGATAACAGAAAAGGCTAATGTATTTTATTTATCTGTAGATAATAGAAAACACTCCTGAAAACCACCCAGACCACAGTCACTTGAAGCATGCTCTTGAGAAAGCAGAAGAATTATGTTCTCAAGTAAACGAAGGAGTGCGGGAGAAGGAAAATTCAGATAGGCTGGAGTGGATCCAGGCTCATGTTCAGTGTGAAGGCCTGTCGGAGGTAAAAAAAATGTTCAATCTAGAGTAATGCAAATGTGAGCACACTTCTCCACCGGTCGGGAAGAAACCATGGCTCACTTATGGCACTGCATCAGGGGACAACAGTGTAATTAATCAAGTCATATAATCTTCAATCCTTTGTTTTCATCTTTCTTTGGCTCCCTTTCACTCCTGCACGTAATCCTTTTTGCTGCTTGTGTTATTGCCTTTTATATGATAAATGGTGCTTTTGTTGCCTGCCTCTGGACAAGTGCCAGGTTCAATGCTGCAATTTTCAACCATGACTTTCCGGTTTCATAGCTCTTTATAATACAGCGGTTATTGTACTGCTATATCTCATCCTGAAGCTATACCTGACCATGCTGGAGTGCTTTAATCACAGAGAATATTTTTTGTGATAAAACTTTGTATGCATTTTGGAAACTCAAGAGTACTGATCAAGTCTCTCTGAAGACTTTATAGATAGAGAATCACTGCCTACCATTGCGTATTATTTTTTAAGGTAACATGCTAAGCTTCATTACTGAAACTATAAAGAAAATACTGTGTCAGTATGTCCTGCAAAAGGATGGAGGATATTTTGATGGCCTCCCTTTTATCAGTAAAGATAATAGAGGCAGACAGATCACAACTTGATTTTCAAAGTATGCATTGAGTTTTCAGTTCTAGAAGATTTAAAAAAAAAAAAAAAAAGCACTAGTTGGTTTGTAAACTGGAAAACATTGCATTTCATCTTATGAAATCTAACTGTTTCAGAGAAACAGGTATGACAATTTCAGAAAGGTCAATGTCATGTTCGGCTGTCTTATAACTACTGCATGAAGGAAGATGGCTGCTTTTATCTTCTGTGCATGATGTCTGGCCCTAGAAGGCCAAAAATATTACCTGAAAGACCAACTGGCTGCTTGCTGACATGGTAGCAGCCTTGAATCAGTGGCAAGGAGTTGTCCGGCCTTCCCCCAGTTGTCTAACTGAGATGGTTCTAATCTGTAAAAGGAGCCACTCCAGATCTAGCTGCCTGGTCAACTAGGATGGCAAGAACTGTACCATCGCATAGTGAAAATAGATCTGAAAATGACACTTTAGGAAAGGGCAAGCCTCTACTCATCTGGCAACAACCTCCAGCTGAGTCAAATTCTGCCAGTTCCAGCCACTGGTCAGCAGCTGTTCTCTAACTCCAGGTATCGTGGGTACACAAAGACAGGCTATCTGGAATTCCTTTGGTATGTTTTAATGGGTGAAATTCAAACACAATTCAGAAATCCAGGCCTTGTTAAGAAAGCTCAGCATTTGGAGAGGCCATTTGCATAACTACTGCTAATCCAGGACAAGTCATCATCAGCTCAGTTCCACTCACAGAGGTGCATGCACATAGCAGAGAAACTCGAAAGGAGGCACAAATGCTTTTGGCTTTTCTCTGGCTGTCCAGGCTATGCCCCATGCAACTGATGGGCTGCCTTAATTTTCATGTAGCATTTCTATGCCTTGCACTGCTTCTCATGCACAAGACAGAGACATTGCTCATCATCCCTGTGACGCAAATTAAAACCAATGTCAGGACTCAAAACTATATTTGATCTCTTTCAGGGGAACCTCGATTGTTTTACTTTATACAGTGCGTTGTTGTTCTTCTTCTACTTTTCGCAGCAACTCGTATTTAATTCTGTTACAAACTGCTTGGGACCACGCAAGTTTCTGCACAGTGGGAAACTCTATAAAGCCAAGAGTAACAAGGAACTGTATGGCTTTCTGTTCAACGATTTCCTTCTCCTGACTCAGATCATAAAACCTCTTGGCTCTTCTGGCACAGACAAGGTCTTCAGCCCCAAGTCTAATCTGCAATACAAAATGTACAAAACTGTAAGTACCACTCTTAAATGGTGTCTAAGATGGTTATACGCTAACACGCATATCGCAGGCAGCACCTCCCATACTGAATGTGTGGGCAATAGCCTTTATATAGAAGAGGTCTGAAAGCTTTGGCATACGCTGGGGATTCCAGGGACTGATGGTGAGAAAGCTGGTTGTGTGCTTTAGCAAGATAAGAAAAGATGCTTTTGAAGTTTTGCTAAAACAACCTCTTCAACAAGAGTGTATCAGGGAGTGATGGGGAGAGTAGTGTTTGCTGCCATGTCTCCTGGGAAAGGAGGGATTGCTATGCTTCATGAGGCTGCTTGCTTACTTCAGGAGAAGTGTTCCCAGACTCTGGAGGCACCTATATCTTTGATAATAAGAATTTTTTTTAAAATTACATATCTGAAGAAAGATGGGAGGCAGGCAGACGGGAAAGATACTGCAGGCACAAGATAAATCTGTTGTAAATTGCTCTGTGTTGAATACATCTGTTTGGATATTGTGCGGTAGAACTCTAGCTTTGCCTAATGTTTTACAGCCCATTTTTCTAAATGAGGTACTAGTAAAATTACCCACAGACCCTTCTGGAGATGAGCCCATCTTCCACATCTCCCACATTGACAGAGTCTATACACTCCGGGCTGAAAGCATTAATGAAAGGTAAGTTCCTGCATAGGCCATGTTAGTACTGGATTTGAAAAGTCTGGTGCAAAGGTGTATGATGTACACATGCATAGCAGTCTCCAAGCAGTTTATCTTACAAGACTGGATAATTCCTTCTGCTTGAGAATACGGTGATACTCAATATGTGAAAAGGAGGGAGAATTAAAGGTGTTTCCTGAATTCCAATAAGACCAACAGTGAAATGGCTGGGAGGGCTGATATACAGGCCATATTTCACAACATTTTATGTTAGCATAAGGAAGCCAAAAGATGCAATCCTATCTTCTTCTGTTAACATCTGTTAGTTTGTGCCAGTGCAAGAACTTGAAGCAAAAACTTACCAAACTAAACCCAGTTAATCTGGTTCAGTTCAGACTGAAACTGTCAAAGGAGCAGCAAACTCAAAACCTCAGCTGGTGATTTTTATCTCTGGCAAGCTTACGGAGACCCGATTACACTGACTTACACTGAGAAGGTTCCTCTACACAAACGTAAGGTCTTGAAAGATAACTTTTGTTAAAAAATGAAAGTTGAAAGTGCAGCAAACCCCTCCCCCATAGTATAGACATTGTGTTATGCCAGCTTGCAAATGTATGGTGCCTAAAAATTCTGACGTATAAAAATGTATAAAACATCTTTGCTCCCTGCCTGCCTGACAGTGTTATTCGTTATTATTTATGCACATAGTTTTTCTTGCAAAAGATGGTATTTTTATGGATCCCATTTGTCCTTTGGGATGCTCTCTCTCCCTCTGTGCCACAGAATGAACAAGCATCGTGGTTAGACCCTTGGTGATGAATACTGACACAGCCTTTTCAACTTAGAATCTGTTGCACAAATCAGACCACAGCAATAATCATCTGTTCTGTGTCAGAGCACTCACAGCAGTAGTCAGAAACATGTAAACTCTGCACTGCATTCATCCTACCTAGCTCGAGGAACTTCAGCGAGATGCTTAGGCACGCTATGCGGAACCGTCAGTGGAAGGAGCCAGATCTTCACATACTGATGGCCCTCTGGAGGTGCCTGCCTCTCTCCATTCACTATAGAGAGAACCCACAGGAACTGCTATCCAAATTTGGGCACTCTAGTCAAATGCCTTTGCTTATACGGGATACAGCCTTTGACTTTCTTTTATGCCAGAATCACTTACTAAATAAATGCAGCATTTTAGGTGAGATGCCTCCAGGTTTTCATCATTCACTTGCTTTTAACTAAGAGCAACAGAAATTAAACATTAGCATCAATGAGTGATTAATTTGCCCACTTAATCTTAAAAGACCTTTATGATCAAAGGCTTGGTATACTTCTGAAACTGCCATTTACCATTTAGGGCTGAGCTGGAAGACAGCATTGTCCTTAAGTGTTTTGTTTTCTTCAACAGCTTGCTGTACAGAATACAGGTGAGTGTTCAGACCCAAATCCAGGCCAGTGTAAGTAGCTGCAATGCCCTGTAGAGCAGCAGCTCTTCATTTTGGGATCAGAAATGGATCCACAACTTCTAGATTCTCTCATTTTGCCTTGACTCAGGTCTCAGGCTCCCTTGTATGTCACAGCAATTCTTCTAAACCCTTGAGGTCTCTTGGTACCCCTTCTTCCATGCTTTTTCTCTGTCAGTCTTTCCACTCAGTCTCTTAAGTATGAAACGATTTCCCAGAAGGGCCCATAGGGAACCATGATCATTCATCATCTGTGTACTCCCTGAGTTAAGCTTCATGTGTCCCAAGGCTCAGCAGGATTTTGGTATGAAACCTCAGGGGGCAACAAAAGTGTCCACCTCTGCAACATACCTGTCTTGTATCTACTGGAAGTTAGTTTATTACAATAAAGCAAAAGGCTTGGTGAAAGCAAACCTGTTATCTATACCTTTTTGGTTTCTCACCAAGTCTGTCCTGCTTGTGATTCTCTTGAGCTTTCTTTGTGTGGTAGGATCTGCTAGCTTGGGATGGTTAAATTTCTGCAGGTGCTATAAATTCCAGCAAGATCTCTTCCAGGCAGACAGCTTCAGTGTAGCAGAGCCTGTGATGGGGCCAGAGCCTTGGTTGGGAAGGAGGGACAGCTTTACTTTTGTCTGCTGTGCTCCAAGGAAGAAAAATGGAAATGGTATTTTGCAACTTTTTTTTCCCTTTCCTTCTGAAGGACTGCCTGGGTTCAGAAGATCAAGGCTGCTTCAGAACTTTACATAGAGACTGAAAAGAAGAAGAGGGAAAAGGCCTACTTAGGTACAGTGTGGGATGCGGGGGTCTCATCTTTTGTGGAAAAGCCCATGGGCAGGATAATATGTTAATGACTTTTCTCTCTCCTCTTCTGTTTTACCACAGTTCGCTCGCAAAGAGCAACAGGCATTGGGAGGTTGATGGTCAATATTGTTGAAGGCATTGAACTAAAACCTTGCAGGTCCCATGGTAAGTGCCTTGGGTTTTTCCTAATATGCTCTATGAAGAAGACATTCCTATTTGTCAGACTAACTTTGAAGGAGGTTCTGTCCAAAACATGGTTTTGTTTAATGAAGCAGTTTTAATGAACTTAAAATATGCAGAAGTGATTTTGTGCAGTTCAGTAGTAGTCATGCAGTTGTCCTGCATTAAGCATTTGTTTCAGACAAACTTAGTTTCCACCATGTAAGCCATATCAAAAGAGATTATAAGCCACGAAATCCTGAAATGAGAGTGGAAGGTGCTCAGCGCCTTGCAGAACTGCGTCCCTGTTCATTATAATGGCAGTGAGGCCACATTGTTTCCCCTGTCCATTGGCCGTAGGAGTAAAAGGATATTTAGGAGGAAGATCACGCACCTAACAACATGATTACTCTTTTCTGTTTGTTTCCATCTTCCCAGGAAAGAGTAACCCGTACTGCGAGGTGACGATGGGCTCTCAGTGCCACATTACCAAGACGATACAGGACACCCTCAACCCGAAGTGGAACTCCAACTGCCAGTTCTTTATCAAAGACCTCGAGCAGGACGTGCTCTGCATTACGGTGTTCGAGAGGGACCAGTTCTCCCCAGATGGTACGTAGGGGGCTGCTGCCCTTCCAAGGGTATTTTCAAATCTCCCATTTTGAAGAGGTGCATGCCTGCTGAGGTGAATCATAGAATCAGAGAATGGTTAGGGTTTGAAGGGACCTTTAAAGATCATCTAGTTCCAACCCCAGTTTTGAACCCCTTTGCATATTGGGAGCCTACTCACCCTTGCTCCCCAGTGGAGTCATGCTAGTATCAGCGCAAAAAGAATCAAGCGCGCTCTGGTTTTTTGGGGGGTTTCCTTCCTTGTGCAACTTGACAACAACTGAAGTGTGGTTTGCAATTCTGCCAAGTCTCTAAAAAACTCTGGATGCTGTTTGCAAATGGATAGGTTAATGCAGGAGGAAGAGAAATGTTTTCAAGTTCCTGTAATATGCAATAACAGCAGCAGAAATGAACCCAGGATTCCTAACCAACTCTTATCACATAACCTGGGATAGACATATGGAGCATTGAAGAGTGTGTTTTGGAGTCATAATATCTCAGCAAGTATTCATGTCATTCATGTGGCCAGCGCCAACTGGCCCATTGACCTCGTTGCTGGTGTAATGTGCTGCTTGGCTCTACCGTCTCCAGAGGGCTTCACACTCAGTTTGAACTGTGCAAGCGGCCCTTGGCCTTTTTTCTAACATATCATAAAATAAAAATAAATAAGCTACTGGAGAGAAGCAGCTGTGAATTACACAGTGGATTTTTCCACTTATGGGACCATTTACTTTTAATGCTGCTGCTGTCTAATATGGTCTAGCTAAAAGTCCTCTTCCATGCAGATTGGCAGCCTTTGGCCTTCTCCAACTGCAAAAATATAGTTGGACTGAAGACTTGTTTTCTCCTTTTGATGTGTGTAGATGGAAGCTTAGTTCCTTCTGCAAATTAGGATTTTATTGCAACGTAAAACAGTTGTGTCATTTCTGAGCATGCTGTCTTTTTGCATTTCAGACTTTTTGGGCAGAACAGAGATCCGTGTGGCAGACATTAAGAAGGATCAGGGTTCAAAGGGACCAGTTACAAAGTGTCTCCTTCTGCATGAAGTCCCAACAGGAGAGATAGTCGTCCGACTAGACCTGCAATTGTTTGATGAGCCTTAGAAGGAAAGGGACCAATGTTTCGTTTCAGTCTGAGTTCACTGCAATAGGTGTCTGCAGAAGCAAAATCCTTATTGGTGTGGTAAGAAACTACTGCTTGCCCTTCACACATAAGAGGGTTATCAAAGCAAACAGGAGCATCTTTGTGCCTTGATAATTCTCACTGAAAAATGAATCCCAATTTAGTGAGGAGATCTCCCTCGATTTCTCTGTGTGGAACTCGAGGTTAGTTTCCTGGGTTTATGAAATAACCTAATTGTTTGTTGTGCTCCAGTCTGAAAGGCTGGCAAACCACATAGGTTGCTGTGCTTGCTCCGGTTACCCTATTCTTTAATTTAAATGAAGAAGGCAATGTTGGTATGTTTTGGAGGCTTTCTGCAGGGTTTTCCCCCTTGAGGAATTCTGTGCCTATTGCTCAGCAAAGTGGTGTGTAAATATAATGTGAATGGAAGGAGCAGTTATGCAGTAAGAAGATCTTTGAAGGTCTTCATGGTGGTACCGAAAAGACTTAGAAAATAAATAGTCTATATCTATAAACAGAGAAGATTCTATTAACATACCACTTCATGACTCACGTTGCCCCTGACAATAAATTACGTACAGGCCTTCTGCACAGAGATGGATTGCACTCCAGAAGAGTCCACCCACTCGGTACCTTTGGAAGTTGCTGTTTTCTGTAGGACTGTAACTGTTCGAACAGTACGCGAAGGATTAAACATAGAGCCCTGCTGAATGTTGTGCTATACCACTTCGATACTACTTTACTACTGCTGCTTGACTTGTGTGACCGCAGATGGATGATCTGTCACCTGCAGCGGGGAAGAAAAAAAAAATCACGGCTCTAGCTCAAGAAGCTGATTTCTACCCCGCAGAGTCTCGTTTGCAAAGCAATCAGTGGTGACCAGTTACTAAATTGTACCGTGCCTAACTGTGTTTGACATCGTGTTCCTGAATGTGGGGCAGCAGCATACTGTAGCTCGTGCTCATGAAGGCGTTTGTGGCAAGCTGGGGCGATCACAGGTTCGGTGGCAGCGATACTGGATGCGACCAGAAACAGAGTGCTTGTGATGGTGCAGAGTGGGTGACCCCAAAGTAAAAGCCTTGTCATCTGGGGGAATGCCAGGGCTTAGCTATCGGTTTTACTCTACAAATACACACGTAAAGGCCCACATCCAGCAAACTTTCCCTGTTTGGCAAAGCACCCAGCTTTAAGCGTGCACTTACGTCTTGTTTCCCTTAAGCACACGCGTAAGTGCTTTGCTGAGTCTGGACCCGAGAGACAATAGACCCCTAAGAGTGAAATTCCTCTTTGTTCCGCTTGGATTCATTTTGTTCATGACCTGTCATGCATACACTGGTATTTTTGTAAGGACTTTATTTCCGAATGGGAGGTGTCGGCCTGTTTCATTAGCATGTGAACGTTCTTGTGGAGCCTGTTGTTAGGTTTTGGTGTTCCTTGCATGTCCTTTCAGTACTGGTTTCCACCTTTCCTGTATAGGCGGTGTTCTCTGGCACTACAAGTCTTATTGATTTCCATTAGGAAATTAGGGTATATTCATAACAGATAGGTAGATACAGTATGGTAATAAGTGTAAACTGTGCTGGGAAGTGTCTGTGTATTATAATTTCCTACAAGACCACTGTAATGTTTCAAGCAATGGGAAAAAAAAATGTATGTTGGAGGGACAACAAAGTTTACATTTCATACTTTTCAGAATCGCTTTATTATTTATTTATTGAAGATAGTGCAGAATTTTGTATCAGAAATTACAGACATACTTATGTATTTTTTGAAACAAAACAGAGATACACACTTTAGTTAGAAACTTTCAACTGACCACATTTTAGAGGGAGTGTAACTTCCTAGGCATGCATTTGTTTACCACTAACTGGCTGAAAACACGATTAAGAGAACTTTAAGTTTCTATTTTTCAATGTTGTTAAGAAAATTGTTTCAATTAAAATATGTAAATAGTACTAAACCCATGCTTTCCTAATTCCATATCAATACATTTTATTAAATATAATGTATATGAAAATACATATTGTTGTGGTAGGATAAAAAAAAGTGATAAAATCTATTAATGGAGTAACATTAAATGTCATTGTCTAACCTTTTATTGCTGTCCTAATTTTACTCAGTAGCTGTAAATGCGGTGAACATTCATTTCAGTGTTTAAAAAGTAGCATCACTTTTTTATGGTATCATTTCACCAGCATGAATTACAGTAACAACTGAATAGACAAACAGGACAAAAAAGACCGTGGGCGTAATGCAGAAATCCTGGCCAGGTTTTTGAAGGGAGCCTCAAGGAGCTGCACCTTCCTCTGAGACTCAGTGGGTGTTGGAAGCGGGGAACCCTTAGGCTGCAGGGGCTCCCCTCAGACTGCGACCCTTGCATGTACGATTGCACCGTTTTGGGGAACTGTAACAGAACTGCCTGACCACCATCACTTGTGATTTCCCACTTACCCACTTATGTTTAACTCCTGTTAATGTCGAGAGGAGTTACGCAAACATGATGATGATGAAAGGCTGGGTTTGGCTCACAGATAACTGATGGAGCCTTCGTAATCGGTCTAATCCTAAAGAGGAAGCTTGTCCTAACCCCTCTGCATCCAGGACAGAACAGATACCCTTAGAGCCAGCGAACTGCATGTTGCTTTGCATTAACTCCATTGGCTGCAGGGGCTACAGGTTTCTGCTTTTCAACCCACTGTAGCTGCACAGACCTCCTGCTCATCCAGGACTTCATGTTTTAAAAGCTCAGGCCTTTTACTGAAAAAAGAGACTCTTTAGCTGTGTTGCTACCAGTGCTTTCACACAGAAAACTGCAAGCTCTCATGGGCTTGTTTAAATACCACCTGTGTTCTGAAGAGTCTGGGGAAGAGAGAGGCGCACAGCAATACCTAGAAAGTTAGTTATCGCTTTGTGTGTTTAGAAATTCTAGTCAGCTGGCATTATCACCATGTATGAAGTTCGAGCCGTCCTCTTACAAGTACCACATGCTAGCTGTCGGGCCAAACTCTGCTAGTCTGTGCCACTGGTATTCAGTACCTGTATTTATGTAGACCCTATTTTTCAGATGCTGGTTATTGCTCACTGAGTATCTTTGTAAAATAGCACACCTCAGCTCACAGGTCCCTTTCCAGCCCCATCGAGATGTGTGTAAACTCTTCCTAATGTTATGCAAAACCACCACCACAATAAAATCAAAGTCCAGATAATACTTGATCACATTTTGGATTGAAAGAGCAGATTTGTGCAGATAAGCATCCTCACTAAAACGCAGAGGTTGTAAACCTGTATATTGTGGAGTTCTGCGACTGGCTGTCCGCATTTGCTTCGGTAAAATTCATCCTTGTAAGAGAGGCCGAGTACAAAGTCTTTTTGTTACTTGTCCTTAAAATGAGGCACTGGTGAGATTGAGTTGGTACACGGGCCATTGGGGCTGGCTCTTAAGATGGGGTTTCATTTCTACCTTTTAGCAAGCTCACTTTAGTGAAGACCATTTGAAGTAATTTGTCAGCGTCAAACTCCTTGACTGCCAGCCAAGCCTTTTGAAAAAATATACAGTGACTTTTTAATGCATTCACTGCCTTCATTGAAACAGTGGTCTTGCTTTGGATGAACTGGGAGAAAAAAAGCCCTAAGAGAAGAGCGAGCAAAATCTGTGGCTGTGAGAAAACATGGAATGGAAAGAGTTGCACCAGTGGTTTGGTGTCCAAGCTGTAATTCTGGGAATTCTGTTCTTCCCTTACGTACATTAATTTTAACAAGGAGAGTGGTATTTCTTCCTAGTGCTTTCTTGGTTTTAGTCTTGTAGTAGAACTGAGTCAATGGGTCAGAAACTGGAAGGGGCCACCACCACTTTTAGAAATCATTAACATGACTTTTGGAAGATGGTGGTACTGGGGGGCGGGCAGAATGTCAACGCTGTGGCTGCAGACAGGACAGGATGCCTCAGAGAAAGGAAAGGAATCTTTTTTTCTTTTTTTTTTTTTTTTTTTTTTTTTTTTTGGCCTTATTCTAAAATCAGGTCCAGTCTCACGGCAGAACTTCAATTATCCAGGACCCCAAATACCCATAATAATAGTAATAATAGTAACAACAGCGATTAATAACACACGTTTGTCCTCAGCCTGGGAGGACCACACTGGATTTAGTGCGGCTCTGTATTTACGCAGGAGTTTGCATGCCCTTTTTTTATAGCTTTTCAGTGTTTAACAGCCCTTATACTCACCTTTCCAGGAATTACCTTCTGAGATATACCTCTGAGGTGCTTAGGCACCGTGCTGTTTCAGGATGCTTTCACGAGGACTTCATGGGCTTCTAAGCATTGCTGTCTGGCTCTTTGCTTTCCTGGTGCCATCCAGGCAGTGCTCACAACCACCCAGGAGGTACAGGGGTACGTGCCCTTTCCGTACAGGGAATTGGCTGCACTGGCCTCAATGGGCCAGTTTTCTGCCTCTCAAAGGACTCGGTTCCCCAGGCTAGCGCTGTATGAGGTATTTGCCAGCAATGCCATTATACATCGGCAGGGTGGCTGGCTGTCCCTACACCCGTATCCCTCCCCATTTAGGACCTCTCCATCATTGCTCTGATAGCAGTAGGAATCAGTTCTGGTCTTGTTGATCTGCCTCGAGAGCATTTTCTCCCTGTGGATGGGAGTCAGCCCTTCAGAGAAGCCTCTCGGGGAAACCACCTGAGCTCATTTTCCTCTGCACTTGGTCAGATGTAGCTGGAAGTCTTTACGTCCAGGGCAGGTTCAGCTCTCCCCCTTCAGAGGTCCGGGTGCCACCTGAGGACGCGTCCGTGCCGTCCTTCGCAGCAGGGCCAGGCTGGGGGCTCCCGCTGCCCACGCTGCAAGCCTGCAGCCTCCGGTTCATTGCCATTAGGGTTGAGGCTCGTGTTTGAGATCACCCAAGTCCCCTCCCGGCCCTGATTTTTCCCCACCTGCTAAGCCCGTTGGCTCCCTCCAAGCCAAACACCGGCTGCGTTGCACGAACAAATGCAGCGGGTGACTGGAAAACACATCTCACCTCATCTCACTGCCTTGCTCCATTGTGGTTTTTCTTCTGTGTATGTCTTGTGAGTAAACTGGTGCTTCTGTCCTGTAATTAAGTCCGTCCTTTGGAAAGCATCGCTCTTTCCTTCCCTTTAACCCTGCTGCTGATGCTCAGCTCTGTGAAACAGTGCTGTTTTCATAGAATCATAGAATCATCTAGGTTGGAAAAGACCTTTAAGATCATCCAGTCCAACCATTAACCTACACTACCAAGCCCACTCTAGACTAATCAAGGGTAGACCAGACTAAACCATATCCCGAAGTGCCACATCTACCCGTTTCGGGACGCCTTTCCAGGCTTCTCCTTCACAGCTCATCTGGCAGCTGCCATCTCTGCCGCAGCCCTCCAGCCAGGGCTCAACGAAGCACTTCAGCTGATGCTTAACTTTAATTCGTGCCCCAATTTAGTGCAAAGGTGTATGTAAAGCCAGCAGGGTGCCTTCGTGCTTTGCTGGGGATGCGTGGA